TGTCTTCCTTTAAGAGGAATTCTTAATGATTACCATGCAATTCTGACTATAATGTCTCAAGACAAACTGAGTTTGAACCCCAACTCTGCCACTTACTAGGAGCCTTTGGTAAGTTACTTAACATCCATGTCTCAGTTTTTTTTCCTCACCTATAAAATGGGGATAATGTCGTTGTTGTTAGGTGCCATCCAGTTCGCTTCGACTCACAGCAGCCCTGTATACAGAGTGAAACACTGCCTGTCCCATGCCATGCTCACAGCCTTGCCCATGTTGGAGCGCACTGTTGGAGCCACTGTGTCAGTCCATCTTGTTGAGGGTCTTCCCCTTTTTCATTGCCCTTCTGCTTCACCAAGTTTGGACCTAACTTACAGGGTTGCTTTGAGAACTAAATGAGTTCATATTTGTAAATGGCTCTGTGCACTGCCTGGAACATAATACTTGCTATATAAATGCTTACCTAAATACATATATTAATAAAAATAAAACGGGGAAGCAGGAGGAAATGTTCTTTCGCCTCGTCTTTGAAATAAAGGGAACAGGAGAGGAAAAACAGCTCCCTCTCAGGAACACAATAATGTCCGGGGATAGCCAGGTTTCCCTTAAGGCCGGGGGTCTCAGGAGTGTTCAGAGAAGAGCTTGAGGGTACAGCCACCTCACAGATCAAGCTCCAGGCTTACAAAAGGGCTTGGGAGGAAGATGAAAGATGGTGGAGGGGTCAGCTTAGGGGTCGGCCATGGAAAGGTGGTGACAGAAGCCCTGGGTTCCGGTTAAGTGGCTTAGATAAACACAATCGGCTGGCAGTCTCTGTTCCAAGACCAGTGCTTGCCCTGCAGCACCTACACTGCTTCCCCGGGCTGCAGGCTTGACTGCTGTGGAGGCTGGAGCCTTTGTTCTGCCTTGGCACAGGCTGCACTCGGTCAGTGGTCCTTCCTGGGCACCATTTCTTAACAGTTATGCTCAAGTCACATCTACAGATGTTGTTCCTGAACAAGGCTTCTGTCCTTCCCTGTCCAGAAATTTGAGTGGACTCAATGGCTTTCCAAACAGAACTAATTTAAAGAACATCCAAATCTTGTCACATACAAGCAGAGGGGAATTTTGACATTTAAAAGATAAAAGATAAAGAACAACCAGTAGACTATAATAGAAGACCTAGAAACAAACCCATGCCATGAATGGAACCCTGGTTTATGACAAAAATAGCGTGCAAATCTACGGGAAAAAGAAGGATCTGCAACAAGACGAATTTGGATCTGTTTATTATGGATATGCAAAGGTCAGCTTCAGAGGGTTAAGGACTTAAGTGTCAAAACCGAAACTTTAAAACTCTTAGCAGAAGATAAAAATAAGTATGTTTTAGACCTTAGGGTAAGGACAGAATCCTTGAACAAGATACACAACATTGACTAGAAAAAATTGAGTAACAACCTTTGTTTATAATAATATCAAAAGATGTGTGAAAGAAATTTAAAAGCCAAGTGACAAACTAGGAGAAGGTATTTAAAATACACGCAGCCAACAAAGAATTGGAGTCAAGAGTTTATAGTGCTAAATATATCAGTAAGAAGAGTAGAACAACCAATAAAAAAATGAATGATTTGTGAGAACTGGTACCTCTCAGAGGAGACAGTGTCTAAGGTGGATAGATAATATGGGAAATATTTTCATGAACTTGGGGAAGTTTTAAAAATTGGACTAAAAAGCAATGACCATGAGAGAAAAGACTGTGTTCTCTCTCCCACATTGGCCGTCTCAGGGCCTTGAACATGGACTCTGTGTCTGGAACGATCATCTGTAGTAATCTATTTAGGATGTAAGGTGTTCTGGTGACACAGTGGTTAAGCACTGTTCTGCAAATGAAAAGGTCAGCGGTTTGAACCCACCAGCTGCTCTGCGGGAAAAGACCTAGCAGGTCTGCTCTGTGAAGGTTACTTGGAACCCTATGGGATAGTTCTTCTCTGTCCTATATGGTCATTATGAGTCACAATCAACTCATAGGGTTTGGTTTTGTGTTTTTTATTTTGGATGTCAATGATACCATTTACTTTTGCATGGAAATTTATAATTTAAACGTGGTAGACCCTTGAAAGGAAGAATTAGCTTCTGCTTTATTTTATGCCGTCATCTGTTACGTTAATTATGTATTTTTGAGTCTGTCAACATTTTCAGGGGAGATGTTATTGAAAACACTTCCTCGAGATATCCTTTGAGTCTGGAAAGCTGCTGCCTCCGTGTATTCCAGTGGCCTGTGGAGTGTGGCTGGAACCTGGGAAAGGTCCCAGCTTTCTGAAGAGCCTATTGAAACGGCCCTCACCCGCAGCCCTGCACTTAAATAGAAGCAGGTGCTGGTGGGGTGCTGGCCTAACCTGCAGCTGAAGGCAGACTGGGTGGCCTGGCTGTGGGAGCCAGGGCCCCATTTACATTGAGAGCTGGTTCTGGACCATTTTGAATTATTGACTCACTTAGCTCTGCGGAGGGGCCAGAGTGAACAATCTGCATCCAGTCCCTTGAGGTTGGGAGCCAGCCTATACCACTGAAAGTTATCCCAGAAGCAAGGAGTGTGGAAAGGTCTTGGAATGGGAAGAGTGACAGAAGGCCCTTATGGAGTGAGACATCCTCCCCAGATAACCTTGTTCTTCAAGTGAAGATCTCAGTGTCAGGACTAACCCATCCTGCCGTCTAAAACCTCGGTGGCTGTAACTTGCCCATCTCCATGGCAGGCTCTGTGCTCCTCACCTGTGCCTGCTCTCAGCACTGTGCCATACGAGCTGTCAGTCTGTTCTGGACCCTGTGTTGCAGACAGCAGCCCAAATCACGGCTGTCATTTGCCAGCCTATCTGTGTGGTATGAATAGTTCTCTTACATCAGACGTTTTCCTAGGTCAAACTTTAATTAATTTAAAAAATAATTACTGAAGAGTAACATGCATATGGAAAAATCCTAAGTCTATAGCTAGATAAATTTTCACAAACCTTGTTTTTTCTTTTAAAGGGTGTATTGAGAATTAATCCAAAGAAGTTTCATGAAGCCTTCATTCCTTCCCCGGTAAGTTCAATAACTTTATAATAAACTTAACGTCACATTTAATTTTTTTCCAGTGCTCAAACTGAAACCATATATTCCAACTAAAAAGCAGAGTAGTAAAACAGAATTGAGGATGGGCAAGGATTTGTTTCAAATTTAAATAAACACAATTTGCCTTTGGTTAACAAGCCTTTCTGCCAGTCTTAAAATCATACTGAAAATAAAAGGGGTGGCGGTTGTTACTGGACTGCAGGGAGCAGCTGGACCCAGGCAGACACCCACCCGTTAGTGGAGTTGGATGCCCTTGGTTTATAGCTTTAAAGGATTTATGGGTTTTTCCACTGATTTAAGTTAATCTTTCCTAAACAAATATGCTATCTCCTTTCGATCTACTGCATGAGCTAATCTGCAAATTTGTCCAAAAATAACATGTGATGCTCTTTTGTTCTTTGGGTCAGAGCTTCTCACTTCGTTTTGTGCAGGTGATAGGGTTGGTGCAGGGCTCTTTGCTGCTGGGCCTTTACCCCCCTCTCCTGTGTTCATGACTCGCGTAAGGGCCTCTCTCCAGTTACGACGACTTCTCTCTGATGCAGAGTTAGTGGCAGGTCTCTGGATGAAGCTTCACTGTGCAGAGCTGCAAAAGCCGTATTATTAAATTCCTGACCAAACTTTTCCAGAACACTATAAATAGGATAGCCAGAGAACCATAGCTTTTCACAGGAAAAGAGACTGTAGGGATAAATTTCTAATAAAAACAAGCAGACCAGACCCACTGCCATCAAGGTGATTCTGACTCATAACGACCCTATAGGACAGAGTAGAACGACCCCATTGGCTTCCCAAGACTATAAATCTTTACAGAGGAAGACTACTTCATCTTTCTCCTGTGGAGCAGCTAATGGGTTTGAACTGCTGACCTTTTTCTTTTTTCCCAAATTTTTATTGTGATTTGGGTGAAAGTTTACAGAGCAAATTCATTTTCCATACAGCAGTTCATACACATTTTGTTTCATGACACTGACTGTAATTCCCCACAATGTGAAGCTCTCTCCCCACTTCCTCCCTGTAGCTGCCTCTTCCCTGTGTCTTCCTCTGCCTTCCTGCCCGCTGAGCTGTCTCCCCGCAGACACTGCCCTCTGTTCTCCTGTGATTGATGCTTACACTGCTGATCTTTTGGTTAGCAGCCCAGTGCTTTAGCCCCCGTGCCACCAGAGCTCCTGATGAAATGGATACATGCATGTCAGTCAACATACTTCATTATGTTAAATGACAGGCTTATTGTGAGTCTGAGTTTGGCCTTTTTAGTTTTTATTGTTTTTACAAAAACGGACCTGTTCTCAAGCTCAGTTCAGTCTTTTGTTCCCCTGCCTTCCAGAAGCCAAGGGACTCAGCTTTCAGTCTTAGCCATGGGAGCAGATCAGAAGTATCACTGATGCACCACATTATTTCTTCAGAGTCATATTCTGTGACTTAAAAAACTCACTCACTGCTGTCGAGTCGGATCCGACTCAGGGCGACCCCTCCTTGGGTTTCTGAGGCAGTATCACTACAGAAGTCGATCACCCAGTTTTCTTTCTGAGGAGTGGCTGGTGGGTTTGAACCGCCAGCCTTCTGGTTGGTTAGCAGTCTGATGCCTTAGGCACTGTGCCACCAGAGCTCAGATGGGGTATATTTGCCGACCCTGGTCCTTTGGGGTTTGTGGGACTTGAGGTTGGCTTTGAGGTAGTAACATGGCCGCAGAAGCAGTTTAGCTGTACAGTGGAAGGGCAGTTTACATGGTGTTGGATTCCAGAACTTGCACACAGGTGAAAGTCATACTCAGGAATCCTAACATTTACCTGGGAAATCTCGGTGGAAGATGCCATGTAGGACCCTGATAAGCTGCCTCTCAGGACGTCCAGCATAGCCAGGCTTCTCACCATGGTTTGTTTCTGCAGTGGCTCACAGGTGCTAGGGAAGCCGGGTCGTAGAAGGGAGCCTGGTGTGAGGAAGTCAGGCACTGGTGAGCATCAGAGGCAGGCTCGGCGCATCGGGAGGTCACCCTGGAGAAGCGCCCGGAATCCGGTGCATTTCAGACTCTCCTGTCCTCTGCCCCATGAGGTTGACACTTGCTGAGGGCAGCGATGAGGAACTACAGCATTTTGAAAATTTCTCCACGTACTGGCTCTCCTTCCTGAGTACACAGTATTGAATTTCCTAAGTTAAATCCTGGTTAGCAGGCCAGCTCCTAACGTGGAGCCTGGGGCAGGAGTACAAGTAGAACGTCCCTTCTATCAGAACCTTTTAGAGTTATAAATCATACTAACAAACTGCTAAATAAAACTGTATTTCTGGCATGTCCTGTTTAGAAATTTTTAGACTGTTGTGATAGTAGGCTTGGCTTGTTTCTTCATCTCTTTTTCATTCTGCTGCTAGTCCCTGATGGGGGTAGTAATATTGTCTTGGGGGGAGAAAAAATACTAAATAATGCATCTAGGTAGTTAAGAACAGACTGTAAAAGCCACCGTCAGTTAAGGCTTAACTGCAGTCAGCCTGGATTCTCTGTAGTTTTGGAACCAGAACAGTCCTGCATTCTCGTTCTGTGGGACTTTTGGTCACTTTCCACTTTAAGGCATTATGGAAAGCAATTGAAGAGGGAGGTGGCAGAGGCAGTGACCAGCATGTGACTGAATCCCGCATCCCCAGTGCTGGGGGTTTTCAGGTGTCCACAGCTCATTCCTGTGCCAAGCGTGAATTTATACAAGCTGGACCCGTGCCACAGCTCGTCGAGGAGGTGGGTGGCAGAACCAGGGCCAGGATGCTACCTGTACACGGCTTCTTGTTGTTGTGTGCCACCAGGGCGATTCCGACTCTTCGCGGCCCCGTGGGACAGAGTAGAGCGGCCGGCCCTGTGGGGCGCCTAGGCTGTGATCTTTACAGAAGCAGATGGCCAGGTGACAAATGGTGGGAGTAACTGTCACAGTGTATCAGGAGCAGCATCAGCGCCCGAACCTAACTTGAGGAGGGGCGATGACCAGAATCAGTCCGAGACTGATCCTGGTGAGGTGGAGGTCAGGCGTGGCTCCACTCTCCAACCTTTTCACCAATTCTGACACCAGCTGTCCCTCTCACGGCACTCTCTGTTTCTCTGCTGGGTTCCATAATCCATTGTAGTGGCCTCACAGAACTAACAGACCACACTTACAAGTAAACAAAAAAAAAACCAAACTCGCTGCCTTTGAGTTGGGTCCAACTCATAGTATGACCCCTCCTTGGGTTTCTGAGGCGGGTGTCACTACGGAAGTAGATTGCCCAACCTTGGAACAGGGTACATACAACTCGGGGTCAGGATCAGGAAGCCTGTAAGCAAAGTTTCCCTTCTTTGGTGCAGGACAGCTCTCTCAGCTCCTCTTGGTCCTAAGGACAGGCTCCCCTCCGTCCCCAGAGGACAGGCTCTCCTCAGCCCCCTGAGGACAGGCCCCGCTTGGCCCCCTGAGGACAGGCTCTGCTCGGCCCCCTGAGGACAGGCTCCCCTCGGCCCCCTGAGGGCAGGCTCCGCTCAGTCCCCTGAGGGCAGGCTCCGCTCAGTCCCCTGAGGACAGGCTCCCCTCAGCCCC